AAAGATGCCCAGTGAAGTGGAGGGAAGTGGAGTGGAGTGAAGTGGAGTGGAGTGAAGTGGAGGGAAGTGAAGTGGAGGGAAGTGGAGGGACGTAAAGTGGAGGGAAGTGGAGTGAAGTGGAGTGGAGTGAAGTGGAGGGAAGTGGAATGGAGTGAAGCAGAGTTGAGTGAAGTGGAGGGAAGTGAAGTGGAGTGGAGTGGAGGGGAGTGAAGTGGAGTGAAGTGGAATGGAGTGAAGTAAAGGGAAGTGAAGTGGAGTGAAGTGGAGGGGAGTGAAGTGGAGTGAAGTGCAGTGAAGTAAAGTGGAGTGAAGTGGAGGGAAGTGAAGTGGAGGGAAGTGAAGTGGAGGGGAGGGAAGTGGAGGGAATGAAGTGGAGTGGAGGGAAGTGAAGTAGAGTGAAGTGCAGGGAAGTGAAGTGCAGTGAAGTGAAGTGGAGGGACGTGAAGTGGAGTGAAGTGGAAGGAAGTGGAGGGAAGTGAAGTGGAGTGAAGTGGAGTGAAGTGGAATGGAGTGAAGAGGAGGGAAGTGAAGTGGAGGGAAGTGAAGTGGAGTGAAGTGGAGGGAAGTGAAGTGGAGTGGAGTGGATGGAAGTGAAGTGGAGGGAAGTGAAGTGAAGTGGAGGGACGTAAAGTTGAGTGAAGTGGAGGGAAGTGGAGGGAAGTGAAGTGGAGGGAAGTGAAGTGGAGGGAAGTGAAGTGGAGTGAAGTGGAGGGAAGTGAAGTGGAGTGGAGTGGATGGAAGTGAAGTGGAGGGAAGTGAAGTGCAGGGAAGTGAAGTGGAGGGACGTAAAGTGGAGTGAAGTGAAGTGGAGGGAAGTGGAGTGGAGGGAAGTGGAGGGAAGTGGAGTGAAGTGGAGTGGAGTGGAGTGAAGTGGAGGGAAGTGGAGGGGAGTGAAGTGGAGTGAAGTGGAGGGAAGTGGAGTGAAGTGGAGGGACGTAAAGTGGAGTGAAGTGGAGTGGAGTGAAGTGGAGGGAAGTGGAGGGGAGTGAAGTGGAGGGAAGTGGAGGGGAGTGAAGTGGAGGGAAGTGGAGTGAAGTGGAGGGAAGTGGAGTGAAGTGGAGTGGAGTGGAGGGAAGTGAAGTGGAGTGGAGGGAAGTGGAGTGGAGGGAAGTGGAGTGGAGCGGAGGGAAGTGAAGTGGAGGGAAGTGAAGTGAAGTGGAGGGACGTAAAGTGGAGTGAAGTGGAGTGAAGTGGAGGGGAGTGGAGTGAAGTGGAGGGAAGTGGAGTGAAGTGGAGTGGAATGAAGTGGAGGGAAGTGAAGTGAAGTGGAGGGAAGTGGAGGGGAGTGAAGTGGAGTGAAGTGGAGGGAAGTGGAGTGGAGTAAAGTGGAGGGGAGTTAAGTGGAGTTGAGTGAAGTGGAGTGAAGTAAAGTGGAGTGAAGTGGAGTGGAGGGAAGTAAAGTGGAGTGAAGTGGAGGGAAGTGAAGTGGATAGGAAGTGAAGTAGAGTGAAGTGAAATGGAGTGAAGTGGAGGGAAGTGAAGTGGAGTGAAGTAAAGTGGAGTGAAGCGGAGTGGAGGGAAGTGAAGTGGAGTGGAGGGAAGTGAAGTGGAGTGGAGGGAAGTGAAGTGGAGTGGAGGGAAGTGAAGTGGAGTGAAATGGAGTGAAGTGGAGGGAAGTAAAGTGGAGTGAAGTGGAGGGGAGTGAAGTGGAGTGGAGTGAAGTAAAGTGGAGTGAAGTGGAGGGAAGTGAAGTGGAGTGGAGGGAAGTGAAGTGGAGTGAAGTGCAGGGAAGTGAAGTGAAGTGCAGGGAAGTGGAGTGGAGGGAAGTGAAGTGGAGTGGAGTGAAGTGGAGGGAAGTGGAGTGGAGTGAAGTGGAGGGAAGTGGAGTGAAGTGGAGGCAAGTGAAGTGCAGGGAAGTGAAGTTGAGGGAAGTGAAGTGGAGGGAAGTGGAGTGAAGTGGAGGCAAGTGAAGTGCAGGGAAGTGAAGTTGAGGGAAGTGAAGTGGAGGGAAGTGGAGTGAAGTGGAGGCAAGTGAAGTGCAGGGAAGTGAAGTTGAGGGAAGTGAAGTGGAGGGAAGTGGAGTGAAGTGGAGGCAAGTGAAGTGCAGGGAAGTGAAGTTGAGGGAAGTGAAGTGGAGGGAAGTGGAGTGAAGTGGAGGCAAGTGAAGTGCAGGGAAGTGAAGTTGAGGGAAGTGAAGTGGAGGGAAGTGGAGTGAAGTGGAGGCAAGTGAAGTGCAGGGAAGTGAAGTTGAGGGAAGTGAAGTGGAGGGAAGTGGAGTGAAGTGGAGGCAAGTGAAGTGCAGGGAAGTGAAGTTGAGGGAAGTGAAGTGGAGGGAAGTGGAGTGAAGTGGAGGCAAGTGAAGTGCAGGGAAGTGAAGTTGAGGGAAGTGAAGTGGAGGGAAGTGGAGTGAAGTGGAGGCAAGTGAAGTGCAGGGAAGTGAAGTTGAGGGAAGTGAAGTGGAGGGAAGTGGAGTGAAGTGGAGGCAAGTGAAGTGCAGGGAAGTGAAGTTGAGGGAAGTGAAGTGGAGGGAAGTGGAGTGAAGTGGAGGCAAGTGAAGTGCAGGGAAGTGAAGTTGAGGGAAGTGAAGTGGAGGGAAGTGGAGTGAAGTGAAGGGAAGTGAGAACGGCGTTCGGCTAGTCACTGATTTCAGCCATACATCGGCTGGTTTCGGGTCGGCCGATCATGGTCAGCATGTTTGAGCCGAAGTGAAGAAGGAGTAACTCAGCCGATCCAACATCTGGACCTCCAGCAGGCTCCTCGTTGCCGTTCAGCTTATTCTCATAGGGGCCGATCGGCAACCAGTGAATCGCTCGGCGCTGTCAGTTGTGACCGGCTCGGTCCAGATCCTCTGGTTCTGGAGGTCCGAACATGTTGGTTCTGCTCATACATACTCCAAGTGGCTCTCTCTAACCCTCGGCTTCTCTCCTGTGTGTCAGCTTCCATAAGACGGTGGAAAGATTCTACTCTGAGCAGGACGGAGTGACGGGGACCACGGAGACCTTCATCTGCCGCGTCACCAACATCGTCAACTGCTGCCCCCCATTCCGGTGAGGGAACCTTCCATCAATCCCACCAGGAGGGGGCGGGGTTACCATCCCCCATCATCTATATAACTCCTCCTCCTCCTTAGCAGGATGACCAATCCCGGGAGGTGTGATGGGATAGAAATAATAATTGTGCTCGCATGTCACACGCAGACACCAACATACGTGTTCACATGACGCTGACCCTCTTCTATTCTACCCCAAACAGGGAGTTTGCCACTCGGATGAGCCATCTGGATAAGACGCAGGGGGCGGAGCTTCTACGGCAAGTTGAGGGAACTCTGGAGCGTATCGTTAGACTTGGCACTCGGGGCATCTGTGACTTAGTACTTCTCGATCTGAAGGTATGAGCCTCCGCCCATAACCCCCATCCTCCATCATAACCTCCAACCCCCATCATAACCTCCATCCTCCAACCCCCATCCTCCAACCTCCATCCTCCAACCCTCATCCTCCATCATAACCTCCAACCCCCATCCTCCAACCTCCATCATAACCTCCATCCTCCAACCCCCATCCTCCAACCTCCATCATAACCTCCATCCTCCAACCCCCATCCTCCATCATAACCTCCATCCTCCAACCCCCATCATAACCTCCATCCTCCAACCCTCATCCTCCATCATAA